ATCGTGCACCCAAAACTGGAGTCTGGTCTAAACACACAGCTAGATTCTGGACAATTGCTTCCTCAGCCCATCCTTGAGCAGCATAAAAAGAAATCAAGAGCAGAGAAAGAGGAGTCTGCCAGAGCTCAGAGATGTCTCAGTAGCTCAGAGACAGGGCTGTGATTTGGAACGTTGATTATCACACTTGTGCTTCCACATTGAATAGAGAACTCATAATTGAAGAGATTACCTTGTAGATGATGATAAGAGCACATTTTCTTCCTCTGCAGACAACATTTGTGCTGTGGCGGCCATTATGGCTGCTGCTTTTATCAGTGATTTAGAACGGAGCTGTCAAAAACTTTAAAAAGCTTCTATTAAAGTAATGTGGTTTTATCTATATAAAACCTGTGAGATTTCTCAAGGAAGCCAAGTTTGGCCTCCTTTTCTAATAAGAGTAAACGGCTGCGCCACAGGGCAGGGAGCTCTCCAGCCTTCGAGGAAGTCAGGCATCTGATCAGTACCAGATTGAGAATCCCTGGAGAGCAGAGCTGTGAATACGTGGAAACCAGTCCTCATCCCCATTCGTGGGGATAAAGCAGTTGCTGTTTTGCAGTGAGGTGGTTTGGAGAAGCTCAGCACGAGGAAGGCGAGACCCCTGCTTCTATTCCCCTGCTGCATGCAGATGTGTGGATTTGATCGCAGTGTTTGCAAATGTGGCTGGATATTAAAAATTGAAAGGAAGTAGTTAGTTTTACTGTGTCGTCTTCCAGTTTATTGGCACTGAGGTTGTTATATGGAATTGGTAGTTTCAATGCTCTGCTTTTGTTGTCTCTTTTAATATAATTTCAATGTATGACACTGAAACTTTCTTTTATCCAGCTGGGCATTTTCAAGCAATCTATTGATTCCTGCTATGAAAGCAGTGTTAGCTGATACTGGCTGGAAGCGATAGCTTTGAAGCGTGAGAGGAGGAGAGCCCCAGGAGATCTGCTTTACTGCCTACCTGGTAGCCAGAATAAGAGCTAATAGAACAGCTTGGATACTCCTCTGTATTTCCATTGCCTCCTTTCTTGCATTTAGCTCTTTTTGGGAAAACACTCCTCTTTTCTTTGCTTATAATCACAATGCTGTGTATTGCAAAACTGTTGGTCTTAACAAGCTGCAAATGGTTGACTCTGCTCCACATCTGAACAGAAGTGTGGCTGCAGCTGGATGCCTCTGCAGGCCAAAAAGGCAGGTCATGCTCACAGAGTTTATTTTGAGCTAGTGCCTGCCTGCAATCTTAGGGGTCACAGTGCATCATGGAATGTTATCACTTTTTGAGAAAACTGGAATTACTTTTACTCTTTTGAGAATTTCTGTAGTAATGCAGACAACATGGCCATGATTGTGGTGAGTAATTGCATGCTTGCTATCCAGAATTCCCACATGGATTTCATTTGGTTGTAGGATCTCTGGCTTTTTGTTCCAGTGGAAGGGCAAACAGGAGGAAGGGATGCTGACGGAAACAGACGTGGAAGCTCTTGATGTGCCTTACAGCACCTCGTTATTTAAAGCAGAGAAGCTGATTCCTGTGAAGGCAGTTCAGGACAATTCTGCTCCTACGTAAAATATAAGACATTCAAAACTCTTTCAGGGAGACCTGATAGTGGCCTTTCAGTGTTTGAAGGGGAACTATATGAAGGAAAGGGACAGACTGTTTTTGGGGTCTGCAGGGATAGACTGCATAGATAGACAGGGATAGATAGGAGAAATGGTTTCAAGCTAAAAGAGGAGCGATGCAGGTTGGATATAAGGAAGAAACTTTATACACTAAAGGCAGTGGCACAGGTTGCCCAGAGAGGCAGTGGTGCCCCATCCCTGCAGACACCCGAGGTCAGGGGACTGGGGCTCTAAGCACTGATGGAGCTGTGGGTGTCTTTCTTCATTGCCTTTAAAGGTCCCTTCTAACTCAAACCTTTCTATGATACTGTGAGGAAAAGGGCGTAACCTGGAAAAGAAAAATACGTCAAGGAAGAGGAAATAAGAAAATGAGATTGTGAGTCTCTTTGTTAGTTAAGGGTGAACTGTGTGAAGCTGGCATTTCTGGAGGGACCAGATCAAAATATCCGAATCAAAAAATGAGATCCAGAGTAATAATTTGGTAGGAAAACAATTTCCCAGAGTGATAATCTTCAGCCCAGAGTGATCCTTGGGAGTGGTTGCTCTCTTGGCCACTTGGTCGACACCTCTGAGAGCAGCCACTTGACCACCAGGAGATAACAGAGAGCCTAAGGAAAGAGTGAGGCTGAACGATGAAGGTTACTGAGTTGAGCAGGTACAGCAGAAGGAGGTGCCAGCACTGTGTCAGTTGGTGAGAGCCGGGGCACAAAGGGAAGAACTCAAAGTAATGCCATCTGTAACTCATTCTGTGTTTCCCCAGGGAGTAGTTTTTTTAGACAGAGGGAATAATGACAGCAGTGCTGGCTCAAATACTTATTTCAGAGGAAAAGGTGACAGTATTTGAATAGATTAATGGTGTTTTAACTTGCACACAAATGGGACATCTATTAAATTTCAGCTGAATGCTCGTGAACGAGCCATTGTGCTTCCAGAGACATCTGAAAAGATTCCAAAAGAATAAACATGAAAAATAAGTTAAAATTTCAGGTTGTTAAATGGGTGAGTTATCCCCGGGATAGGAAGAAAAGTGCATTAATGACTAAGGCAGAAAGCTGAAATGTAGAAGAGTACAGGCAAAAGAGTATCTGTTACAAGGCTCTATGTGCATCAAAGGTGTTGCTCGTGATGAAAATGAGTGCATATGGTAATGCAGTAGGTGTGAGAGCAGTCAAGGGAGAAACTGAGAATGTCTTCAAAGGTAACTGAGTTCTCTGATTACGGAAGCAGTTTAGTTACCTGGCCATTAATGACCCTGGTAACTTCCCCTTCTAAACCAGAGAGGTCTGTGTGCTCCCTGCTTGCGTGTGGCATAATGAGGAGAACGAGGTTGTCCTTTCAACGCAGCAAGGATGGGAGAAAAGAAGAGGAAACCTGTGGCCCCTGTAGACTGAAAGAAGAATTAGATATATGTGTGTGTATATAATTATTTGTGTGTGTGTATAAAGGAAACACTTTCTAAAAGCAGCAGAGACAGGCATGTAGGATTGTATGCAGCAGGAAACAAGCATTTTTTAGGTTAGAAAGCATATGGCAAATGCCCATAGAAATGTCCATCACAATTTGGAGTACTTCTGTCAGCAAACAAAAGCTTCGTTTTATTTTTGTCAGCAATGTCAATGATTATTGCCAACCTGAAGGGTCAGAATAAGACTCTGCATATAGTCTGTGAGTGAGCAGTGTCCCAAAAGGCAAACTACAACTCTGCAGCTGAGCTGAGCTTGAGGTTGAAGTTAAACACACTTTTGCTTAAAGCTACCATGACATCTCAATAGTAATCCCAGAAGTGTTGCTGGGAAATGTGTTTATTGTCTTAGAAATCAGCAAAGAAATACTAGAGAAGTTTAAAATATTCTATTAAAACCTCCAGTGAACAGTTAGGATTGAGGAGAATCTTCCAAAGTGCTGCCAGGACGTCATTGAAGGCTGTGTCCATATGTCTGGGTGCTCCTGCTGCATTAGCAAATGTGAGTACCATCCTGCATAAGGCCAGTTTTAATAGCAAGCAATTCATCCCTATTGGTAACGATGATTTGCCTTTGGGCCTGGCAGTGGGAGCTGCCCTGCTGTGCTGATCGCTTCCCTCTCACCACTGAGCATGCCAAGTACCTGCAGCCCTGAAATAGTAATGCATTCCGAAACATGAACTAGGTTTTGTTTTGCCTCCTGCCTGTGGAAGGTGCCAGAACTTTGCTCCCTACGGAAGCGCTGATGAACCATTGCTATGCGAGATAATTGTCAGAGCAGCCTTTCTGCAGAAATGAGCCTGCAAAAGCAGGGCCACGGATCTGCTGCTGGCTGCCTCCTGTCTTCTAATCGATCTCTCCTGTCCAAGTAAACAAAGGAGCAGCCTGACACAGGCAGGTGAGGGCAGCGCTGTGAATATCCTGACAAAAAGTGAAATGGCTGCAGCGCTATCTCTCTTTGTCAAAGGGGTGAGTGGTGTTAAGCAGGCACTAAACCTGCCACAGCTGTAGCAGCGTTGAACTAAAGGGCTTTGTTAACTGTCTTTGGAAAAGAAAAAAACAACACAGAGCATTTGAATGCAACCTCCTTGAGCCTGGAAATAGCAAGCTAGAAATGACAAGGTTGCTATTACATATCATACAAGGCAAAGGCTTAGCATGAATCGAAAAGGATTAGGATTTCATAGAGCTGGAAAGAGTATCAGGTGTTGTTTCCTGAAACAAAAGTGAATTGGGAGAGAGATGAAGCCACCTACCCACATATGCTGCTCTGTAAGTCAGCCTTTAAGTGATGCAAGGTAGGAGGAGACTTGCCAGCAGGAATCATGGCTAAAAACTTTTTCATTCTAGGATGTATCACAAACAGAGATGTGAGGCAGGGCCAGAACTAGTGGCAGTGTTAGAAGTTAGGGGAATCTTTTTTGGTCATCTGAACTGGTTCCTGCACCTTGAAGCTGTCCAAAACAGAGCTGATAGCTTTCTGTGGGTGCTCCCCTCTACTACAATCATCCCTTGGCCAAGCAAAGTCTTCATGTTTCACCTTGATAGCTGGAAATGGAGGGGATATTCAGTACATTAAAAATCTGTTACTGATTGGATCTTGTAGTAGATACTTTTTTACCCAAAGCGTGGCATGACTGAGATCTATTCTGACTTTCACAAAGGTGTAATTCTGCTGAAGGAATAGAGCAAATGAACCAGCACTTTACCTTCAAAGCAGCTTACAGCAGCCATAGCCACTGTCACTGGTGTGCCAAGAGCTGTTTTGCTCTCTCACCCTAATGGAACAGTGTTTTTGTTACTTTGCTTTTTTCTTTCGCTGTTGGAAACACTCTTTACGTTTAAGGATCTTGGGACTCTAGTCTTACCTTCCTCTCTCCCCTCTCCTCCCAGTGTCTATCAACTCGTTGTCAAGGAGGAGAAGCTACAGAAAGCTCGCAGAGCTGCAGACATCATTGAATGCTTCTCCATCCCAGTGAGCTACAAGAACGCCTCCAGCCTTGACTCACCTCACTACTTTGCAGCCGAGCTGAAGCCCATCAACCTGCCCGTCACACAGCCCTTCACCGTGGGCGACAACAAGACCTACAATGGCTACTGGAATGCTCCTCTTTCTCCCCTGAAAAGCTACAGCATATACTTCCAGGCTCTTAGCAAGGCAAACGGCGTAAGTGCAGAGAATATCATCTGTATCTGTACATGTGACTACCTCTAGCCTCCCTGTCTTTCTCCTTCCTTCTCCATCAGATGCCAGTTTAATTGCTGATTATCACTTTCTTGCAGAAATTTGATGGAAGTTATACATGCCACTACTTGTCCTTCACTCAACTTTCTCTGCAGATGCAGTGGGAAACCTGTAGGAGTGCCAAGTGATGGAAAGGGCATATGTAGGCACATGATGTATGAAGTGGATTGTTTATAATCTTTTTCCTTGCATTAATGTCAGAGTAGAGGCTGTTGTAGCAGCTACATCTTATAAGGACATCCTTGCAGTCGTCAGTTCACAGTGATTTTAGAGGAGAGATGAGATGAGAACTACCAAAGGCTATTAAATTGGATTACTTTGTAGCCTGCGTTTGGTCATCCCATAGTTTAGCAGTTATGGTTGAGATTTTCACCTTGAACAAAATGTAAGTTTTATGGTAAAGGGAACTTTGTGCCTGTCTTTCTTACTCCTTTTGGATATCATAGACTTTATTTTTAACATATAGTTATTTTGTGATATTAAGTTTAAAATGGGGACTGCATGGGAAACAAAGTCCGCCCCTTTCTCAGAGTCAGATGTCACACACGTCGTGCCCAACAGATCCATTCACAGGAAACTGAAGGCCTCTTTTCCCTCTTAAATTCTTCTGGAAAGTGGTTTGTGATCTACTGACCTCCTGCTGCAGATATGTTCAGCTAACAGCGCGCAGGCCAGGTCCAATCTAAGCAGTCATTCAGCTGCATCCCCTCTGGCTCCCCCAGTAGCTTTTGGTTATCACTGACATGTTACAGGTTACCACTCCAGCCTCTTGAAGAGACTTATAGCATTAATACACAGTGAAGAAGTTGGGTAGACAGGGGTGTTTTTAGTAGCCAATGCTTTCCTGAATCCAACTTTTACAAGGGTAAGCTCTCTAATACATCACCTCTGAAAGAACAAAATTAGAAAAATCAATCAAAGATGAATGGTAAAGGCTTTGTCTCCGCTTGGGATAGTGACTTTGATACCCAAAACACAGGCATGCATCACAGAGGACTGTGCGTCCTTTAACAGGCTGGCAGTGCCAGTGAAGGTTCTCAACATGTCATGCTGTTTTACTGCCTTCATTTATCACCATTCTGCAGAGTATCAGCTGTGTGGCTGACAAGCACAAATCTCTTTGGTATTGTGCTGCTTTTCACCTTGGTTTCCCTTCTAGTTGGTACAGTTTCCATTCAGCACTCATCAATTAATTCAATTTTAGATTTGCTTCTATGAAGGAAATTGTGAAATATATATGTGTATGTCTCTCTGTTTCTAGTTAGTTCCCCCTTATGTGATAGTTAATTGCAAGCGAATGGATCCCTAGGGATGAAAAAAACTTTTATTTGCTCGAGTACAATCTAATGTGCCATAACTGGGTAATAAGAATGGAAATGTAGGCTTCCCTTGGCATTCTGGAGTGAGGCAGCAGTAATGTGCAGCTCTGCTTTTTCTAGAACTCTGTAGCTGACAGGTTGCTCCACGCTCAAAAAAGTAGGCAATACTTGGGCTGCTCAGATGGGAAACTAAAAGACCTTTCAGGAAGAAGTAATCCAAGAAGTCTGCATGCAGCTTGTGAAGGCATGAGAAGCATCAAGTTCACATCTGAGCGAGCAAACGCCTCTTGTGTTAATAATTTACATCAGTACATTATATGGTTATGTATCCTTAACGTGCAGTGCTGCTGGAAAAAAATGTAGGTGAATTGTCCAAGAGTGGAATATGGATCTTAAGTGAGTAGCTGTGGAACTTGTTCTGCCCTGATAGAATCCTTGAGGCACTCATTTCAAATACTAGGATCTGATTTGCCTCTGATGTTTTGCAGCTGTAAATGTTTTCGTTCATACCCAGAACTGTTAGCAAGTATAATTTGTTTTTAAGAGTTCTTGGTGTTCACGTTTATCAACACCCTGAGACAGTTTGGTGGTCTTCATAAAGCCTACCAAAAATTATGGCTGCAGGAAGGCATTTTTAGATAATGCACATCTGCAAAATATCTGAGACAGTAACAATTTAGCACAATTAAAATCCAGCCTTATGTTCCTTTGCACATGAAAAACTTAACAGAGCATCGCAGCTCATTTTTTAATTAGGATATTCTATAGTTTCATTAATCACTGACAGATCTGGAACGATGAAACTTCTTTTGCACACCTGGAACTTGCAGTGAGAAGCCATCGTGCACTGAACCATAACGTCTTCCTTTGGAAATGGAGGGCTCCAGGGGGAGCTTAATTTGAGGAAACATTCTGTGTTTGGTCAAAAAGCTTGATTAGGAGGAGATGGTGGTGGTAGAGGAATTCTGCATTGTTATTTTACATCTCCTCTGTGTGTGGAGGGTTGTGCTCATTTGGTGTTCTTGTCGGCTCTGTAACCATTAGCCACGATTGTTGCATTGAAAGGGACATAATTAACAGCTGGATGCAAAACAAGTGCAGCAAATTGCTGCAAAATCAGATCTCGAGCTTTGCTGCCTTCTCTTGTGCAGTGTTTTTTTTTTTTTTTTTGTCAGCTGTCATTCCCTGAGTTCTGTGGGCAGTTGTGTGAAGCTTGGTCAGCCTGGTGCTGCTTCCAGACAAGGGTCTGAACAGAACATTTTGTTGTGCAAAACGCTTCCAAACTGTGTGGATTTTCCTCCTAGGGATGGTTGAAAGCCAGATGCTGAACTGAGAGGTGTCAAAGTTTAAAAGGGGTTGGGGGGGAAGAGAGGTAAAGAAGAAAGGAACTTCAGGCTTTATAACTGGGCAGTTGAGAAACACAATTAGCACAATTAAAATCCAACACAATTAGATCATTTGTTAGGGACAGTTAGTGCAAGAACTGACACAGAGGGAAGAGCAGACAACTGGCTTTGCTGTGCTCTGGCAGGAGCTGCATGCCTGCTGTCCCAGCCTGGTAGCTAAGTGATGTTTGCTGGTTGTCTTGGTGCCACCTGCTACAGATGGCTGCTGGCAGAACATGATGCTTTCCCAGCCTGTAAAACCACCCTGAGCTCAACCTCTCTGAAGCACAGCCCTGTGGTGCTTCTGCTGAAAGGTACGGGCCTGGCTGGCAATATTATCCTTATGCAGAATTAATGATCAGAATTAAATGTCACAGATTTTGCTTTATCCAAGCCACTGGTGGTGGTGGTGCCCAATTAGACATCCAACAAACACACTCAAGTGGGGAGAACTCCTTGGCTCCCGGGGTGCTGCCTGAACTTCTGAGCAGCTCAAGAAACGGAGCTTCCTAGAAATCCTTTCTGTAGCTGCTGTGCTTTACGTCATTGAGTTAAAATGAAATCTGTAATGGCACAGTTGCAATCAATAACCCTTGGCCATTTTTCCTCTAAATGGGAGATGAGGCTGGAGGCTTTGTAGCACAGCTGGAGATGATGTGGGGGATGCTGCCGGCTGCTCCTGCAGCCTGGTGGTCCAACAGGTGAATGATGTGTTCAGGCCAGCTTTGTGAAAAGTGGCAGCACAGGAATCAATGAGAATATTATTTTTGAAGGAATGATGGACTCTACAGAGTTTCTCATTGATTTTTTTTTTTTTTCCCTCTCTAATGACTTGTACTGCATGCACAGTCGGGCAGCTCATCATTATCAGGGGATTTCAGGCTGGATTCCTGGTTGCTAACAGGTCTACTCAAATACTTAAGGAAGATTTTGGAAGTATGAGCAGAGCTGCCAGTGGGAAAGCGACTTTTGTCCTTGTGGAGATGGCTCACAAAGAGCCAGTGAGGTACTTCACTTCAGCACAAGCCCTATTCTGAAAACCAGTGTGCTACTAAAGCTGCCTGCATCGGTTTTGCAAACAAACAGCTGTGAGGACTCAGTGTTCTGTGATCTCAGCTGTACCATTTTGTCCAGTGATGTTTACTGCTTGTTACTGGAGCTCCTGGGGCAGCAGTAAAGGAGCTGTGGATACACTTCACTCTTTGTAAGTCCTTGTTTCCACATCTGGCTAGCCTTCCTGAGCCAGAAGACATGAAGCTGAGGGTTGGTAGTCCTATTCATTGCATGAATAAAATCGTCTAGTCATCCTCAAGTTTGGGAGATGTGGGTACTGAATAAACTAAATATCCTTGAAATCACTTTCAGTTGTAAATAATAAAAGCCCAAACCACTTTGTTAAATCTTACTTCTCCAGATAACACAGATACTAAAAATAGCTGATAATTGGAAAGTCAATACGGGGTTTAGCTGAGCCTCCTGGAGAACTAGCAGTTTCCTTGAGCTGGCAGTAGAAATTATAGGGGAGTCCATAGACTGAGCACACTCTGTGCATGTGATTAATTTTAAAGACAGCAAACAATTGGTCTCAGTGGAATAAGGAGGAGGCATGTGGGAAAAACTGAAGAACAACAACAACAGAAAGTTCAGAGGATGGAAGGGCAGTTCCTATCCCATGGGATCAAGCTGCCTACAAGCGTGCTTGGTACAGGCTTGGGACATGGAGTGCTGTGGCTGAGGCCAAGAAGGGGGTTGGTAATTACCTGTCTGTGCAACAGCAGGAGTTAAAACTGCCTGTCCCCATGTGGGGCTGCCTGGAGACTTGTAGCAGGGTGGCATCTGGGGGCAGCAGGTATGTGCAGGTGCTGGCAGGGACTCTTTCAGCCAAGGAATGCACTGTTTAGCTAATGCAGGGTCATAATCAGAGCCAAGGAAAGGAAAAGAGAAAAAAAAAAGATGGGTGTGAAAACAGATGGATGAAAAAGCTCTGCTTATTTTATTGTTCATAGTCTGTAAACAGCAAGCTGTCATTTTAAAATAAAAGGGAAAAAAAAATCATTTGGCCTTTTAGGTTGTGAAGATGCAGCTGTCTCATAAGCATATGTCCTTCTGCCCTCATAGATCTTTTCTGCAGAAAGTTGTTCCCATCCAAGTATTAAAACGAAGGCAGAACTTGTCTTATTATCATCCTGTGCACTTCAGTGAAATGCACATTTTGGAGCCTAAATAATGAGTAGATGGCATCAGCTCTCTTTCTTTGAGAAGGAAAGAAACAAACTGTATTAAAAAGAATGAGAATTCTGTGTGATGACAGAACGAGCTCCTGGCATGTGGACATGGGTCTGAAACGAAACAGTTGTCCAGTACCAGTGTCTAGGTTGGAACATCCCTATGTTGTTCTCTTACTGCTTGAACGCACCCCTTCTGTGATAGCATAGCCTGGCAGTGCCCAGAGCACAAAGCAGTGGTGCTGGGATCTTGCGTTGGGTAATTTGTGTGCCTGCAGCCATAGTACAAAGCAAGCATCTTACTGCAGCTGGTGGGAGCACGGGTCATGGCTGTGGTTGGGTTTGGGAAACTTCAGTGGTACAATCGACTGGGATTCGTATATCAGAGTACTTGAAGGAGCCTGTGGATACAATCAGAAGACTGAAATTTAGGGAAACTGTTTTTTTAAAAGTTTGTTAC